AGAACCTGCTATGGCCTAACCGGTGAGCCACTTTTAGAAAGAGCTCAGTAACATTTTGATGCAGCCATCCAAGAAAAGCAAAAACCAGGAGATTCCGATAATAATGCTCACTTATGCCCACTGAGAAAAAGGTGAGTAAATTTGAAAACAAGTTTTAGATAACTAACTTCAAAAAATAACCCCTGAAGCTAAAATATCCCCAATCATTAATGCAAAGGCAAATTCTTGAATTTGTCAGTGTCACTCGGCTTCATTTTACTTCAGGTATAATTTATCTTCCTAGGTTTTCCTAGGTCAGCAGCCCTCCCTATTGCATCCCCACTGAGCTGAAAGTGTGTCTTCGGAGGAAACACACAAAGCCACTCTTGGATATGCAAAGGGGTGACTTTGGGATCAAACTCTAACACTGTATTCTTGACGGTTTTGGAATCACCAACCTTGAAGGCCACAAGTGCCACAACAATTTAACAGGAGGCCTTATGTTTAAAAAAAAAAAAAAAAAAAAATCACCAAACACTGACTAATGCAAGTATACGGATGGATAACACAGGCACAAAATGACTTACACAAAGTTGGTGCTTATCCTTGGGAAACCTAAACAAGTGACATCATGTTTTGACAGATACAGATCAATTCAAAGTTCCCACACCACTTTTTAGTATGGGTAGGGTCCTAATGCAGATGTTCATAGTACTTTCACCACCTTTTTTTTTTTTTGGTCTTACTGAGACAAAGTTTCACTATGCATTTCAGGCTGGCCTCAAACTCTTGGCAACCCTCCTGCCTCAGCCTCCTGTGTGCTGGGATGCCAGGTGCCAGTCCACCTTCTTACTCTTACCCAACAACATATGGCACAGACACCCCGATCCTTTCTGAAGTTTACTGAATGGCACTTAAATTCTTCATGCTTAGAACTTTTCAGTCCTACACTAACTCTAATCTGTGACTTTGCAAAGTAAGAGCCAATGCAGGATGGAGTCAGTATTGTCCTCAGCCACTGACCTGAATCTCATTTGCTGTGATGTGACAGCGCTTGCACAAAACCCTGTGCTAATACCCGCAAAAGACGGCACTCTTCCAGCTGTTCTTCTCACAAACGCATGCAGCAACCACCGGCAGAAGAGGGGAGCGATTCCAAGCACCTCTCCCAAAAGCAAAACCAAAGCTGTTACCCTGAAGCTGCAATGTTGCCATGAAACACTAACTCGGGTCTCCTCTGCTTCGGATACTCTTTCATCCCAAAGTTGTACACCTTGTTACTTTCTAAACCTCACCCAGAAGAAACAATACACAGATTTGCAACTCTTCTCAAAGTTTTCTTATTGCCCCCCTTCCCTGACTTTGGTAGAAACAACTTTGCAAATGAAAAGGCTTCCTTCACCAGCCAGTTTCTCTAAAAATTCCTGTCTCATAACCCCATAACACAACGTCAAAATATAAAAACAATAAACCTTTATAACCATCTCCTGTGGGAGGAGAGGGAAGAGAAAATCAGAAAAATCCACAAAGCCTTGAAAGGCTGGAGGAGGACAAGGCCAGCAAAGGGAGGGAGAGGAGGGGAGGGGCGGGTTTCCTGCAGATCGGGCAAGCCCTCCGTGACGTCAAGGCGCATAGAGAATGTTACAGCAGTCAGCACAGGCCTCCCGCCTTCCTATTGGTGGACTCCATGTCAGCCGACATCAGAACATAATCCTTATTGGCCAGACAATTACAACCGGAGCAGCCAGCATCCGCTGTTGTTGCAGCGCTCTGGCGGCGGCGGCGGCTGCTGCTGCTGCTGCTGCTGCTGCTGCGTGCGGAGCCCAGCTGCCTCTCTCACTGAGTTTTGTGTAGCCTTTCCAACCTGCGCTTACAAATGCAGCCAGGCATTGGTGAAAATAACATGGGCTAGACAGCTTATAGAAAAGCAAAGTATGTCTATTTCCAGCTCTGTAAAATCACAAGGACGTTCTGGTGTAAAACTGGAACCCAGCAGGCTATTTGGAGGGAAGAGCAGGCTTTTCCTTCCACCTGGTATTGGGCCCTCGCAGGACATTTTTCTTATTTATTTTGGTACAGGGTCTCGCTAACGCTGCTCACATTCATAGTGATCCTCAGGATGTTTTTAATTGGAAATACTGTTTCAAAATGTCTTGGAATAATTCTCAAGGGGGAACATACTACTCTGCATTTCAGTTGTTATAATCTCTATATATGCAACTATTTGCTATAAAAATAAACAAGTCTATTTCATGTCTAGGCCAGTAAGTATCCAGGTCAGTGCCTTAACGCTTAAACATTAAAGCAGCAGCAATCAAATTCATCAATGTGTCTCACTCCAACTCTTTGGAGTTCACACAAACACCACTACAAAAATACATAAATTAATGAGGTTCTATTCCATGAATATGTGCCACATGGGGTGCATTAAACTTACAATCTCCAAAACCCTGTGTAGCTCATTTATGCGAAATTCATAACCCCAAATCAGTAAGTTTTGTTTGAGAGTGTATGAACAAGATTATTAAAGCTGGAAAAAAAAAAATTCCCCAAATAGCAGCTGCCCTTAGCTTCCTTCAGAAGCTGTGGTATTTTAACCCAGTTTATGTACAGTAAATGAGTCTGGAAAGGTGGCTGTCATTTTCTAAAGCCCTCTTCCGGCTTCTCTATGAGGGGGTCTAAGCCTTGACTATAGTGCTGCCTTCTGCTAGCAAGCGAAATGAAAAGCTTCACTTTTGTTTACACCTGGCTTAACGGGGGGGGGGGGGGGGGGGGGGGGGGGGGGGGGGGGGGGGGGGGGGGGGGGGGGGGGGGGGGGGGGGGGGGGGGGGGGGAGGACACGGGGATCCTGAAACCCGGCCACTGGGATTTGGAGAAAGCGCACCAGGGTAAAAGAAAGCGAGACAATCATGGTCAGGAAGAGTCCCAGGGAAGGGTAAAGCTGCAGAATTCTTTAAATATACAGTTCCAGAACAATATAAAGTCCACTAAGCGCAGAAAGCAGAGTGGGGAAAACGGATGCAAACAGCAGGAGAGGCCAAGCATGGAAAGCCTGGATCCCGGCATGCACAGGCAGTGCTGGCCATACCAGGATCACCAAGCACCGCGTCCACAGCACTCTGTTCGGTGCGTTGCAGAGTCTGGAATGCTCGGCACAAGGACTGCACCCTAAAGAGCCGGTGGTCTGTGGGACACACGGGCAACTTGTGAATTTCCACGTACAAAACTAAAACCCAGGAAGCTGTTACCGCTGCCGGGAAGGCTGAGAAGCCGCAGAGGTGATGTTCAACCACTTTTGGCATTTGCTGTCCCACGAGGGCCAGGACCTGCCTGGCTCAGCCAGGTCTTACCGAGTGAATGGAGAGGCGCGGAAAACGGTACGGGGATGCCCCGGAAAGTGGCTTTACAGACAAGGCAGCAAATAAGCAGGAGAGCGAGGAGACAGAGGACACCAACCTCGCGGGGAGGGGAGGGGTGGGGCGGGGCGAGGCAGGGCGGGCAACTGCGAAAGCTCTGGGCGGCAGGGCGCGCGGAAGCGGCTCCGGAAAGGCAGGTCCGACCAGGGCGCAGCGGCGAGCCGCGGGCGCGCGCAAGGCTCTGGGGTGGAAGGTGGGTGGGCGCGCGTGGAGCGCGGAGGGCTGCTCAGGTGACCGCCACGCTGGGGTCCTAAGTTACCCCTTCCGCGGGAGAAGATGCATCTATACAGGGGCATTGGCGAGCCGCGCAGCAGAAGGGGTCTGCCGCCCCAAATGCCGCGCTTCTCCACGCCTCCAGGGAACAGAGCGACTGCAGCCGCCTCGGGTGCCCGGCCTCGGGTACCAGCCCCGCCCCGCCGGGCTGGCGCGCGCCCTGTTCGGTCCACAGCACCCAAGCCAGGCTCGTGCCGCCACAGGCGGGTTCCACCCGGCTGTGGCCGCCCAGGGCTCATGCGCCCCGGGCCTTCAGCTGAGGAATCGCGGAGGGCGCGCGCCATGCGGACCGGGGCGCCTCGAGACGCTAGTCGTCGCCACCAAGAGACAGGGGACGTAGGAGGCCGAGCCCTCCCAATGACTGAGTCCCGGGCACCACTCCACCGCGCAGCCGGCGGGGATGCGCCCAGCGCCCCTCCAGCGGCCGGCCCCTGGCCCGCTCTGGGAAGGCCGGGCTGGCGCTTCGCTAGGCGCAGAGCCGGGTGCAGGGCGGAGGGCCGCCTACCGGCCACAAGGATGGAGCCGGAGGGTCCCCACACCCGCTAGGATACACCTCGCAAGGTGACACCCGACCGCCTCCCACAAGGGAATTTCCTTAAGGACTGGCGGAGGAAGGGAGCACTATAAACTGGAGGATCCCCGACCCTGAGTATAGGCTATTTTTTGGGGAAAAGCCCTCCCAAGGGCTGTGCACGCCGAGGGGTTCCGGAGGTGTGCGCCCCGACTCCAGCCAGCACAAATGGGAAAGTCAGCACGTCCAGAGGCGCCGAGTACAACAGATACTTGACCATGGCGCGGCTCGCTTGCTCGGTTCATTCATTTTTTTTTCCAGGCTTCATTGTCCCCTCCTCCACGCCCTCCGCCCCCCGTCCGGAAAACCGGAAAGGGGAGCGCGTGGGGAAGGGGTCCTGGGAAGGAGCCCCGGGAGGGGCACGGCATAGTGAGGCAGAGTGGCGGTGGGGGCGCTACAAGGAGAAAGGAAGGACGCGAGGGTGCCGGGGCCGAGCCGGCGGCCGCGGGTGGGAATAAAAGCAGAGGGCCGGGTCCTCCCGCCACTGCCAGGCGCCCAGTGGCTGCGGGAGGCCGGCAGACAACGAGCCTGGGTGGGAAGCAGGGGGCAGCACGCGCGGGTCTGGTCCGAGGATCTCCCGCGCCGGGCAGCGCGCATCGCCCGGCGCACACTCGGTCTGTTATGTAAGCCGTGGGAGGCGCGCGGCGGCGGGGCGCCCACCTGCAGCCGGGACTCCGGGGATCCGCACCATCCACGCCCGGCCCGGAACCCCGCTGAGGCCGGGGCTCTCCCCGGTCCGCGGCGCGTGGGCATCGCCTTACCAGTTCTCCTGCATCCACTGGATGGCTTCATTCTCGTTGAACTGCTTTTCAAATTCATATTCTTGTAAAGTCAACACTGACATGTTCATTGGGGCTGATCTTCGGGGTCGCTACGTGTTCTCTACACAAAATAAAACAATCGGTAAAGCGCTGGCTCGGGAGGGCTCTCCCGCCTGCGTCCCGCCCACCCCAGGTGGCCCGCCGCCGCCGCGGAGGTCGCGCTCGCCCGGCCGCCTCAGCCACATCCAGGGGCCAGCGTGCCTGAGCTCCGGCTGTGCCGCGCACCTCCCGGCGTCCGTGGCCGGCGGAGGGGACGAGCGCCTTGCGGTCTTAGCGCCCGCGCGCCCGTCCATCACGCTTTTTACTCGTCTGCAGGGAAATCTCCTCCCCCTCGTGCGATCACAACGTTAACCCTTTGCGAGGGAGGGCGCGACGGAGCGGCCCTCTCCCGGCGAGGGAGGGGGGAATAGGGCGGGGAGGAGGTGGCCCCGAGGTCACGGCGGCCCCAGCCCGACCTCATGGGCCTCGGAAAAGAGACGCGCGAACCGGGAGCCGGGAGCATCAACAATTGGGGAAGAGTACACCCTGCGGCTCCTGCTCGCGGAGCACCGGCCGGCCTGCGTGGGGCTCGCACGCGCGGGGGACGCGCGCCCGGCCGACTCACGTGGGCCGGGCGGGCCGGAGACCTCAGCGACCGCGCGGGCGGGGATGGGGAGACTCTGTACAGCGGAGAGGGCTGCCGGAAGGGAGCCGGAAGTGGAGCGTAGGGCCGGGAGAGGGGTTAGGCGGCGGTCTGGGCGAGGGGAAGGGGTAATTAACTCGCGGAGACAAAGGAGGAAGGCGGCTTGGCATACAGAACTGGATCGACTGGTCCAATGCAAAAACTGTTTGCCTGCCTGAATAATCGTGCTTTCTCTGCTGCACAGGTTGGTGGAGCCCAGGCGTGCTGGAGGAGAGAGCTGAATGTAATGTTGACCCTTGGTGAACCCCGGCAGCTCAGCAAGGTCGTTTCAACTCCAGCTTCCACGTATACCCCTCTTATCTTCCTGGACAGAATAGTGCTTTCTTTGTCACCCCTCCGTTCATTCACTCATTTCTTCCAAGAGTTAGGAAAAACTAAATACATGATGCATAATTGATAATCTAGTGTTTGGGTGTCATTATAAATGTTTTAAAAAATAATAGTCATCGACCTGTGCTTTCAAAATTAAAGGCAGTGATCCAGTGGGGCTGCCATGGGAGAGATTCAGTCCTGCGGATCACAAACTATAGTAAGTACTATTAAATGAAATAAAATGAAGTGCACATTAGACATGAGGACCGGGAAGAAAGTTCCTGTTTTCCGTTGTGCATGCCGCACCTACCAAGTAGTCAGAAGAGAAGATATCTCAAACTGGGCTGACTCTTAACGTTTGATAGAGGAACAGAGAAAACTATTTCTGTAAAGAAGGAAAACAGAATAAAGAGTTCAGAGAAATGCAGTTCAATATGACATAAGTCGAAGGGCTAGAGTGGTTGATAATTAGCAAATTAATACGTAGGTGGACACTCCCAAAGATTCCAGAGACTGCTGCGGGCTCCAACCAGGAGTTGTCTTCCACAGACTTCCTTAACAAGCTGGAGCCGGGCCAATACATCTGGCAAAATTCCGTAAGACCAGATGTGTGAGAAAGATTTTAACCTAATGCCTTGTCCTATTAGAATATCGATAATTTGCAAAGTGAACAAATGCTTCTTAAATAAATGAAACCACTAGAGGGGTAGACAGTCTAGGAAAGGCCTCTTTGATTGCCTTTCTTTTGTCTAAGGAGGATTCTCTTTTATACCGAATGTTCTTAGTCATACAATTATAAGTAGTGTGAGAAATTAGCATTTCTGTAATTCTTATTCAAATAATGTGTGCTAATGCCTGTTTTCTCAAAATTGGTTTGGGGTTTTGACAAAATAAATGGGGGGGGAGGATACATCCATCCAACAGCCACACCCTTTCCCAGCCCTTGTGAGGCTGAGGTAGGAGGATCGTTGAGTTTGAGGCCAATCTGAGCTACATAGCAGAGCCCAAGGTCCAGAGTTTGATCCCCTGTACTGCAAAAAAAAAAAAAAAAGTGAAAAACAAATTTTCCAACCTGGCGTGGTGGTGCACACCTATAATCCCAGCACCCTGGAGGCTGAGGCAGGAGGATCAACATGAGTTCAAAACCAATGGGCTACATACCATCTCAAAACTACAGCTTTCTGATTTGGTCTTATCTGTGTGTAAGGAAAAATTACAAATGGGAGAGAAATTGCTTTTCCTTGACCCATACAGAGGTCAGTTATAAAAGGCATGCAGAGCAGCACAGTAGAGAGCGCCGGAATCTACTCCCTGGCAAGCACCGTGGCAGCCTGTGTGATCCTTTTCAGTGGATAGCACTCCGTGGTTACAAGAGCACCTATTCATTCAAGCTCTGGGGAAGCATGGGAGGACAACAGGGATCGGCCTCCTGCTGGCTGAAAGTCCACATTGCAGAGGGAAGAAAAATCACTAAAATGAGTAAACCTGGAAGGCTGGGAGTGATCCTATTAACCAAGCATGTTTATAATCACATCACTGGAGGATGAGGAAGGAGGATCACCAAGAGTTCGAGACCAGCCTGGGCTAAAAAGTGAACTCAAGGCCAGCCTGAACTGGTAGGGGAAACCCTGCCTCAAAAGGACAAAAAGGAAGAAAAGATCGCAAGTATAGTTGCTTAGCTAATATTGATCGGATAGTAGCAAGAACATATGGGTGGCATCGTTAACTTAGGTCAATAATATAGAGTTTTAGTCTTGTCTTTTTAGTCTTACTTTTAGTCTAAGTGGGTGGGTGAGGATGGCTACCCCTGATGAAATAATGGGAACTGTCAAAAAGTGATACCAATAACCCCAATCCTCCATTTGTCTGTTAGGGAAGGATGTAAATCTGGCCATTGTGCCTTTAATCGTCAGATACTCCTCCAGTCACAGCTGTGATGAGTTTTTATCTTCTGCACAGACTCCCTCTAGGGCCCTGTGCAATCTGACTGCCCACCATATTTCTACCTTATTTAGCTGTCTAATATTCTTCCTTTTGAAGAGGAGAAGGAGTGTAGTTTCCATGTAGCTTCTTCCAGCTATTGGGTAGGTGGTAGGGAGGTCACAGTCAGAGGCCTTCTTCAGAGAACTCATCTGAGAGGCGTTGGCTAGCAGTCATATTGACGTTTAGCAGTTAGCTCTCTGCACAAGGTCTATCTAGTGGGTCCTGGGAGGAGTCTGGTGCATCTGTCGTTGGTTCTGTCTTCGTATAATCTTGTGGAGTTTGGCAGCCTCTCCTTCAAGGATCTTGGTGAGACCATCAAGATGACACGGGATGTGCTAGACGCCAGATACACCAGGTTCCTGCTCCCCAAAGTTGAAGAATGAACTCTTAAGGAGCAACGGAGGTTGAAAACAGGAAAATTTATTGGAGAAAAGAAATGGAGAGTAGGAATGAGGAATAGTTCCTGAGTGAGCCACAGGAGGGGTCTCAAGTGGGTTAACACTACACTCTACTCTTCTACAGTGTTTTGACTTTTCTTACCAGGAGTCTACCTATCACTTTTTTAAAAAAAAGTCAACAGGAGTTAGCTGAAGCAGTGAGGTAACATCTCAACTTAAAGTTTACTAAATTTAAAAGTGTAAATGTAGCATAATATGAGAAGTAAAACATTTAAAGTGGTGATCCTCCTAGACATATTTTAAATTACACGACATACGCTAAAGTTAATGCAATTGAAATGTGGGGGAGGAAACCAGCCATATCGCTAAGAATTTTTATGAAAAGGTGTGTGTGTGTGTGTATTTCTAAAACCAGGTAGGTAGCTAATATGGAATATGAATAGCTGGGCTCAGAAAGTAGCAGGTAATTCACATTCAGTAGTAAAAGTTTTGAAATATAAGCCAATGGAGGAGGAGCATTTTGAAAGACAAAGATTCACTACAAAGATGACTCTACCAAAAACATCCAGATTTTCATCCTGGCCCTATTATGGGCTAACTAATGACCTCAAGGAAAGAAAATTGATTTTTGAGTTCCCTTTCTGTGTGTAGAATAACAACAACCAGTAACAGTGTGGTCTCAACCCTGGCTCAGAATGTCTTTAGCATGCAGTTGTGTGCACATACACATACATTGTTTCCAGGGCCTTCCAGTGCTCACTTGCCTTTCTAGGCCTCTTGTCATGACCAGCCTGGGTCACTCAACAGCTGTGAGTATCTCAAGCTTTGCCCCTTCTGCTTCTACTCTTGGGTAGCACCCTCTGCTTGGAATACCTCGCTCTACCAAGCCACCTCCCATTCTTGCCTATCAAGGGTAGCTCTCTCTGGGCTCTAATAAAGCTACTCACAACTTAAAGCCTTCACCCTAAAAACTCTCCCTCTTCCCTCCAAGCCCTGTCGACACACCTGTGGCAGGCCTTAATTCAGCTGTTCAGTTCAGGCTCTTAACTCATCCATATTACAAATTCCCTCAGGCACAGGGACAATAACTTACTGATTATATGCATGTTCTAGTGTGACTCTGAAAAGTTATCCTAAAATAACAACAGAGAGCATCTCTCCAAAGGCCAGGAATTTCACTGAGAGCTAGCTGGCTATGTGGCATATGCATATCATGGTAAACCATGGGAATATTTGGAAGATAAAGGCTATTAAAGGTAAAGTAAAAAGGTTTCCATAAATTGTTCTGAAACAATCATCTTTAATGGGCCAGCCAAATAGCTCAGTGGATTAAAGCACCTGCAAGCAGGCACAGGGGCCAGGAGTTCGATCCCCAGACTTGCCATGCTGGCCCCAATCCCAGGATGTGCTGAGATAGCAATTGAGACTGGGCATGGTAGCGTGCACCTGTAATCCCAGCTCTTGGGAGGCTATAAACAGGTGGATCACTACAAGACAGATCTAGTAGTGAGACCCGGAACATCCTGTGGACCTTTCCCTAAAATTAAAAAAAAAAAAAATCATCTTTGGTTACAAGGATCCTTACCAAAGAGGCATCATTCTGACGTTGGATAAACAGTTGTTGGGCAAGTGTTCCAACAGACATATTTTTTGTGTAAAGTTGCTTTGACTCAGTCTCTTGTCACAGTTCTCATTATCTGACACTGGTACATGAAGTCCTCCTCTGGTGGTGTACTGGCTTTATTTATTTTCATAAGCTCTGGCGAAAGTGACTCCTTTGTGATGCTAAAGGTTTCGCACTTTAATGTTGGCAACTTAAATGGTAATAAACATTTCTTATCTTTCTAGAGGGTGTGAGTCAGATCCAGGTGTCCGTGTCGGATGCTTCCAGAGGCTCTTCTGACAAAACTTGCCTTCCATT